AGCCAGCATCAACAGACTCTCCAGCCGCCAGAAACAACAGATCCCTCCCTCAACAGTAGATCCCTTCCAGTAACAATCGACCCCCTAGCAACAACAGGCCCCCACCAGCAACAATAGACCTCCCAAGGAACAATATACCACCATGCAACAATAGACCCCCAGCAACAATGGACCCTCACAACAAAATACCCCCCAGCAACAACAGATTTTTCAACAGCCAGCATCAACAGACTCTCCAGCAGGCAGAAACAACAGACCCCTCCCTCAACAGTAGATCCCTTCTAGTAACAATTGACCCCCTAGCAATAACAGATCCCCACCAGCAACAATACACTTCCCAAGCAACAATATACCACCATCCAACAATAGATCCCCCAGCAGCCAGCATTAATAGACCTTCCATCACACCCCAGCTCCCCACACTATTACATACATTCAGTGCTCGAGGTGCCACATTCCCACAAAAATAAATCCCTGGATGGGAGTGTACTTCATGTAGCTTGTGCTGTAGTCAATTTGCTTTACATTTTGCAAAGCCATTCATGTTTGAATTTGTAAATCAATTTTGAAGCTGATTAGAAGCTGTAGAAAACTTCATGTGATGATGTCAAGCTTTCAGTATGTGGGAGGCAGTACAGTCTGTTGTAGGTGTTCTAGCAACACAAGCAGGCATGGTCCAGGATCACCAGATTACTTTCAGTGGGTAGTAGGGTGGGCTGGTACATTACAGAAATGCCTGTATGAAAAAAATGAAGTACTAGGGAGACAGGCTGCACTCTTTTGTGCATCTCAAGGTTTCATTTTCATCTTTAGCTGAAGTATAACTTAACTAATACATTTTATGTTAGGTGAACATTGATTTTCAGCTCTCACAGATGAACTTTAAAATAATGTTTCATTATCAATGTGCAATTAAATAACCTTGATTTTATCACTAAGTGTCAATAAAACTAATGAAGGAAATCTGTGTATAAAGGTCACTCACAGCCAATAGAATAAAGACACGTTCAGATCTATGGAAAGCTTATCTGGCTGCCGTAGTACTGTGCCACACACACTGACACCAGTATGCTTGTGCAATACAGCTGGCATTTGCTGTGATTATGGCCTCATGCAATCAGAGCTTAAAAACGCTGATTATACAGACATTCTGCATTTTTTTTAATGCCTGTTAAAGCACTTCTATGTTAGCCTATGTAGCCTTGCACACATTGGCATTTACAGGCATAGTTGAAGAGGAGCGTTTACAGGCAGAAAATAAAATGTACCAAAGTCACATTCTGAGATGAGCTTTTGAGCAAAAAGAACACGCATGTGCTCATAAATGTGTGTAAACGCATGGGTATGCGTGCAAATTCAATATATTCCAGTGGCCAGAATAATTTAATATTCTGGCCAGTAGAACACATTTACGCTTAAATGCCATAGAGTCATAAATGCACATAAATGAGCATACATATTATACCCTTAGAGGTCTTTTTTTGGGAGAAATTCTGGCAGAAAAAATGCTGCTAATTTTCATAAGCCCATATGCATGATATTGTATAGATGTAACACATTTAAAGATCTGCAGTCCTCAAAACTGGATTTTTTATCTACATGGTTAGAAATGTCTCCTTTTTTTTCCTGTGTCTAGAAATTTTTATTTGTAAACTTTGTATTTTGGTTTAAAGGATAACTAAAACTCAAGAACAAACATTTAGTATATTGTAGCTTACCAATGTTATGGTCCCTCTTGAAAAGGTATCCTGAGCTTACCCGAAGCACGGGGTCTAAGTGACGGTTGGTCCTCACTAGAGCACCCTGGAAGGGATATTAGGTTGGAAACCCTGGTGGTCTCCCATTTTCTTTCCTGTGAAGAGGGGGAGAGCAGAGAGAGGCACTGCTCCCGTGCACAATGCTGGATTGAGATCAGACACAGGTAATTATAAGGGGGGGCTGAGGGGGGGAAGTCTGGACACAGAAGGTTTTTCACCTTAAAAGTGAAGTGCGGGATATGAAAATAACAAACACATGTACTCACTTAGGTGGGTGCAGCAGTGATCCAATGCATTTGCCTTTACACTGAGAACTGAGTGATTAAAGACCACTGAATTTTTATTTCTAAACTTTGTATTTTGGTTTAAAGGATAACTAAAACTCAGAACAAACATTTAGTATATTGTATCTTACCAATGTTATGGTCCCTCTTGAAACATATCATGGGCTTACCCAAAGCATGGGGTCTAAGTGACAGTTGGTCCTCACCAGAGCACCCTGGAAGGGATAATAGGTTGGAAACCCTGGTGGTCACCAATTTTCTTTGCTGAAAACTGGCACCAGGTGGCAGCCTTCAGGATTGCCCTACCAAGGGGGAGGCTGGAATATGAAGGCTACAATGCAGAGATTGTTCACAAGGCATCAGAGCAGTAGAGTCAGCATATTAGGTCTATTCAGGTAGAAAGTGGAAGAGCAATCATGTTCAGTCAGGGGTCTTAGTGGACAGGAAGCCAGAGACAAGGAAGTCTGGGTTGGCAACAAACTAGCAACTGGCAGGTATTATAGTATTTTAGGACTCAGGGGTCATGTCAATTCATGTTGGTAACAATCTCGCAACTGCAAAATAAATAATATAGTTCTTTAGCTCTCATGTAGCTGGTGATAAGACACAGCACTAGCCACTTCTAAGGCAGGTGCATTAAATACTCCTCAGAACAGAGGATATACCAGGCATGGTTTCTAGGATTTATGGAAGTCCTAGAGTTATTGGAAGTGCTAAGAATCCTGGAAATCTAAGAAGACCTGGCAAGGACTGAGTACTGGATGTTCTAAGAATCTTGGAATTCATGGAAGATCCCAGTTGGGATCCTGTGTGTACAGGTTGTCCCGGGAATCCTAGAAATCCTGTAAAACCCAGTAGAGATCATGGGAGTACTGAATGTCTTAAGAATCCTGGAAATCCAAGACAACCATGCAGGAATCGTGTGACAACCAGTTCTTAGATGTGGTGGCTGCTCAATTTAAAATGAACCTCCTTTTGCTTCCTCACTGATTTGTTCTTCCACGTGAGAAAACTGACATAACTAGTAGTTTTAGGCATTCAGATTGTCACACGAGATGGGGAGAGAGTTCTCAGATTTGTATAAACTTGAATTGAGATTACACATGTTACTTTTACTCCTTTCTCCACCAGAAAATGGAGGGAAGAGAGAGCAAAGCGAAAGTGAGTGTTAGATGTTACAGGGATTGTATGCCTCTCATGGACAAAGTACAGGTTCATGCTAAGCCAAACTTTTTTTTTTTGTGTGGAGTGAGGGATGACCTATGTCCAGCTAGCTTTGTCTTTTCTGGAGTTTTCCATCAATTTTTATCCTATTAACAACCTGTCACGCCCTAAAACATGTCACCGGGACACTTAAAAACTTAAAGGAGAAGTAGGGCCAAAGCTGTTTTGGCTCTACTTCTCCTATGGATCACAGGAGTGCACTTAGTTCTGCACTCTTGTGACTCATTTTTTTGCCGTTAGTGGGCTAAAGCCCACTGCCAGCTGACATCACACAACTTGTCCAGGCTGTCCAGCACCCCTGGCTCCTGCCTTCCGAGTACCCCCCTAGCAAGCCGTCAGCAGGGTTTTGCCCCACCCCTTGCTCTCATGTCATAGGAGTTGATTGACAACAGCAATGGCTCCCAATGCTGTCAATCTGCCCTGTGAAGAGGGGGAGAGCAGAGAGAGCCACTGCTCTCGTGCACAATGCTGGATTGAGATCAGGCACAGGTAAGTATAAGGGGGGGACTGAGGGGGGAAGTCTGGACACAGAAGGTTTTTCACCTTAAAAGAGAAGTGCGGGATATGAAAATAACAAACACACGTACTCACTTAGGTGGGTGCAGCAGTGATCCAAAGAATCTATCTTTACACTGAGAACTGAGTGATTAAAGACCACTGATCGTTCAGTTTTCGGTAGTCAGTGAGCTGAGAGCGGTAACTGTCAGTCACTGCCTCTCTGCTCTGTACCCTCCAGCGCTCACTGGAGTGAAGGGATGGGGGGGGGGGGGGGGCAGGATCAGCTGGTTCAGGCTCACAGGAGGATGTTGAGAGGCTGAGCCAGCTGCCAGTCAGGCATCTGGGTGGATCCTGACTTTAAAGTTGGAATCTTTCCAGAGCCTGGACAGCTGTGTGATGTCAGCCAACTTGGACTTTAGCCTGCTGTTGGCTGAATGCAGGTCATAGGAGTACAGAACAAAGTGCACTCCTGTGACTCACAGGAGAAGTAGGACCAAACGGGATTTGTCTCTACTACTCATTTAATGCAGAGAATGCATTAAGGTAAAAACCTTAAGGTTTTAGAAGCACTTGCTCAAATTAAAAAACCTCTTAGCAATTATCTTTTACACCTAAACCTTCAGAAATATGTTACAGAGTGCCAGGTCCCTTTAATTGGCCAGATATGTGCACATAGGTCTTCCATCAATTAAAGTGGATCTATAGGTACAAGGTTTTTTTACTTTAATGGATTCTATGCATTAACCACTTGCTTACCGGGCACTTATACCCCGTTCTTTACCAGGCCAATTTTCAGCTTTCATCGCTGTCGCAATTTGACAATTGCGCGGTCATGCGAGATTGTACCCATATGAAATTTTTATCATTTTTTTTTCTCACAAATAGAGCTTTCTTTTGGTGGTATTTAATCACCGCTGGGCGCTTTACTTTTTGCGCTATAAACAAAAAAATTGCAAAACATTTGAAAAAAAAAATGTTTTTCTTTGTTTCTATTATAAAATTTTTCAAGCAGGTAATTTTTCTCCTTCACTGATGTGCGTTGATGAGGCAGCACTGATGGGCACTGATAGGCAGCACTGATGGGCATTGATAGGCAGCACTGAAGGGCACTGATAGGTGGCACTGATAGGCAGCACTAATGAGGTGGCACGGATAGGCGGCACTGATAGGTGGCACTGATAGGCGGCACTGATGATGGGTACTGATAGACGGCACTGATAGGTGGCACTGACTGGCATCACTGCTGGCCACTGACTGGAGGCACTGCTAGGCATTGACTGGGGCAACTGATGGGCACTGACTGGCACAACCGCTGGGCACTGACTGGTGGTGCTGACTGGCAGCACTGTATTGATGGGCACAGGTGGGTGGCCCTGGTGGGCACAGGTGGGTGGCACTGGTGGGCACAGGTGGGTGGGCACAGGTGGGTGGCCCTGGTGGGCACAGGTAGGTGGCACTGGTGGGCACAGGTGGGTGGCACTGCTGGGTACTGGTGGGTGGCACTGGTGGGCGGCACTGCTGGGCAGAGGTGGGATGAACTGGTGGGTGGCACTGCTGGGCACCGATCATCAGGGCACTGATCATCAGTGTCCTGATGATCGGTGCCAATCCCTGCTCTGACAACTGCCGGTTTTCGGCAGTACTTTCCTTTACAGCATGAGGAAAGTGCAGCCGAGAACCGGCAATTGCATTTCCCTGTGATCAGCGTGCCATTGGACATCGCTGATCACATGGTAAAAGGCCGCTGTGATTGGCCTTTTACCACATCACGTGATCAGCTGTGATCACAGAGATCGCCAGGGGCACGCAGGAGAGCGCGTTCTGGGAGGACGTCATATGACGCCCTCCCAGAACTAGCCGGCCGCAGTGTAGCCATCATTCGGCTATCTGCGGTTGGCAAGAAGTTAAGGTAGAAACCCTTCTGCATGCAGCTTCCCCTGAGCCCCCCTAAATACTTATCTAAGCCCAATCTTATACCAGCGATGTGTACGAGAGTAGCAACTCTCTTGGCTCTCTCTCCTCACTGGACAGAGAGGCAGCAGCAGGAGCCATCTGCTTCTGCTGCTGCTGCTGTAAATCACAGCCAGTGAGGAGAGAATGGGGGGCAGGGCTGAGTCAATGGACACAATGCGAGCACTAATGCCCCCAGAACAAGTTGCTTGCTGTGGGGGCACTTGGAAGGGTGGAGGAGCCAGGAGCGCCAGCGAAGGACCTAAAAAGTGGAGCACCCATTGCACAGAGCAGGTACATATATATCATGTTTGTTTTTTTAAAAAATGCCTTTAGATTCACTTTAAAAACAAAATAATGATTGTCTTCACAAAGGCCAGGTTTGTAAATTTGCATGCAGACAGTAAAGCATTTTCAGTATATTTTAATGAATGGGTTACATAGAATTTTCTTATGCCCAATCAGAATATCTATGGAAACCTAGAGAATGCTTCAAATATCCACAGCTAATTTAGAGGAAAGGATTGAAGATTGATATTTATTGGTCTGGTATAGTGTATGAGGCAGACAGTGTTAGAACTATCACTGATCATGTTATTACTGTTGTAAAGCAATGAAAACATTTTACATGGACTTTCAATAATATTGTTCTTGGGCTTCATTCAAATTTGCAAACCCTAATTTGAACCTAACATTTATTATAATACACAGTTTTTGTTCTCGGACAAAATATGAACATATACATTAGACTATGCTACTAAAGACTATCTGTTGTGTTGTTGCTATATCAGGTTTCTCGCAGTTGCATATTTATGGCTCAAAGTTCACTGTTAACATTTGTTAGTCATTATATATGTCGGGTTTAGACTAGGACAGCACAAAGGGTAATTTCCGCAAGATCATGTTATGGAATTGTGTTTTAGGTAGTGAACAAAAAAGTAAGTAATTTAATTTTATATATATATATATATATATAAAGATATAGATATAGCTAGATAGATAGATAGATAGATAGATAGATAGATAGATAGATAGATAGATAGATAGATAGATAGATAGACCAAGATAGATAGATAGATAGATGGATGGATAGATAGATAGATAGATAGATAGATAGATAGATAGATAGATAGATAGATAGATAATGCTATTATAGAGCGACTGCCATCAAATACTCTATATCCATGTAGTAATGTACAGATATTTGTCAATATGCTGACACTTTGCAAGTGCCAGAAATAAGTGCACAGCAGGATTGTCTTGCAGCTTACATCTGTTGTAGTTAGTGTATCTTGCTATGGAATGACAGGCTGCTAGCCACTGTGCTCTCAGTAACCACTTAAAGTGGACTTTGCAGTATAAACCAAGATCTGCTTGCTAGATCTGCCTCACCCTCCAGTATAGACTCTACTGTATTCGTTAACCTTTTTACCTAAAAGTTTTTTATATTACTTTCATGCAGCTATATATAGCATGAGAGATGGGGCCCGGATATATTTAAGCGGTATTAAACCCAACAGCAAACATTGATCATACTCCTAGATTGTAAGCTCCAAGGAGCAGGGCCCTCCTATCCCACTTGTATTGAACTGTATTGTTGCTGTATTGTCTCCCGTTATATTGTAAAGCACTGAGCAAACTGTTGGCGCTATATAAATCCTTTATAATAATTATATTATTGCAGCTTACCAATTTTTAGATGTGATGGCTGCATTAGTTTTCTTTTTTTTAGACTTTCTCTCCTTTTATTTTCATCTGGTGAGTCAGCTAGTAAGACCCCTGTTACATGGAACAGACACTGCTCCGATCAGCAGGGGATCTGTGAGCAGATCCCCCGCTGTTCAAAGTCAAATGGGACGGATGTCACATCTGTGCCTGCTCAGTTTATGCTGAGCAAACACAGGCAAAACCTTGTCTCGTCAGCTGTCAGAAGACAATAGCCAGCACTGCAGATTCTTCCATCTGTATTGCATGTCCAGCTTAAAGTGTTACTAAACCCAGGACCCTGCATATCTGGTGTCCCACAGTACACAGAACATGGAAATACAATTATTTTAGTAAATATAAACTGCTAAATACCTGTTCTCATCAGCGGCTAGAGCAGTCTTGTGACTTCAGCAGAGCACTGGTTAAAGCTTGTAGGAGGAGTTTTCTTTCTGCTTTAGGAGAATGCAGAACCCCTGACCTTTGTGTGGACAGCTCTGATTGGCTCTGTGCTGATCACATGCACTCTCCCAAGAAAAAAACCTCTAGCAATATACACTAAACTGAGCATGTGCAGAGTGTCTCCACACGATATGTCTTATCAGTAGATAAGAGGGGGACACTGGAAGAACGGGAGGATCAGAGAAGTCAGGATCAAACAGCATTTGTACACAATGCAGAGGATTACCCCTTAGATTTCACAGTGAGTATAACAAGCATGCTTCACTGCATAAACAGACTGATTTTAGTTGTGGGTTTAGTAACACTTTAAGTGATGTTCACCCTTCAGCTTGCAGTGTATGGATCATTATTGTTCACTTTCTACAAAAGTGAAGCCTGCATAAGGGTCTCTAGGAGACCCTAGGAGAGATACAGGTTTACATATATATATATATATATTTGTTATAGACTGCTGCGCACATTATTCTCTGGCTAATCTTTACTGATCAGTTGAGTTAAATTATCATGATCAGTCACTAAATTTCCTTAGTGATAAGGCTAGTACATGAGGTATGGTATTAGTACATTGACAGCCTTGTCAGACATAATCATGGGTCTACATGCACTTATTTATTATTTTTGTAATATTCAAAGCAAACTCACTCATCCATCCATTTCTCCATGCTCTATTTTGCTGAGAAATCGCTTTGAAAAACACCCCCTAGCATATCTGGCCGTGGCCATCTTGTGTAAGGGCAGATAATTCATGTAGCATTTACTTCCTGGAGTCCATCTGCCCTTAGCTCAGGCATTCAGACTGGAGGATGTGTTCATGCTATCCATGTCACATATCAAGTCTAAGGATACCTTGAGTCAAAGACATACTTTTTGTATAAAACCTAAGACACACGATGAGAATGAATGATTGTTTGTTGTTTTTGCATGTTAGTCTCACATCAAAAATGAAGAGGTTACTAAAGTTATGAAAATTCTCATAAGACAGAATACAACTTCAGAAGTGGTCATGTATTGTATTGTAATGTATTATTTCGTTCCAAGCATGCGCAGTCTTGGTCATTCAATTTTTTTATGGATAAACACCGAACTGTTTAAACAAAAATTGTTTGTTCTGTTATCGTACGAGAAAAATTATCATGCTTGTCGTTTGTCGGTTATTTTCACATATCCAGCAGATTATCGGACGATTGCTCCGGAAGCTGTATTTTTTTGTCTGATATTCTCATTGTGTGTACAAGGTTTTAAAGCAGAGTTCCACTCATCCTGCCAAAAAATAAAAGTCAGCATCTACAAAAACTGTAGCTGCTGACTTTTAAAAAACAGCCACTTACCTGTCCCTCGGTCCCTTGGTGTGTGTCCCGCCAGGGACGGACTGACAACTCATGGGGCCCTCAGGCAATAGGGGATCATGGGGCCCCTGTGTCCTTACCCAAACTCAAAAAAAGCCTACGAAAAAGGTACCAGGGGCATCTCATGGGGCTCCCTACTGATCCCAGGCCGTGGGCAGTGCCAAGTTTCTAAATGGTCAGTCCGCCCCTGTGGCCCGCAGCCCGTTTCACCTGCCATCCTGTATTCCTGGAGGCTGGCATATTCAGTGTGGGCACCCAGCTGTGACTGCTTGTGGCTTCACAGCCGGGTACCCACTGTGCATGCGCGAGTAGCACTGCGCTTCATGAATGATCCTGTAGTCTTCTGGGACCTGTCACGTGTCCCAGAAGACTACGGGGAGGGAAGGGGGAGGACACCTTCTGTTTCCGATCGCCTAGGCGGTCCGACCACAATTGGGAGCCGGTACCTGTCAAATTCAGGTACCTGCTCCCTCCGCCCCCCAAAGGTGACAATCCTTAATGGGGAGTGGGGGAGCAGTCTTTAAAGTGGAACTTCCCCTTTTGGGTGGTGCTCCGCTTTAAAGAGGAGGTCTAGTCTCCCCAAAAATGTAATAGTCAGCAGCTACAAAAACTGACCTGTCAAGGGTTCCAGCACTGTCATCACCCAGGCTATTGTTTACTAGCCTCTGGGTTGCTGACACCGGCAAGTGAGAGAAACTGGAAGTGAAGCTTTGTGGCTTCACAGTCGGTTTCGTACTGTACATGCGTGAGTCGCGCTGTACCTTGAGATTGGCAGGGGGAAGGAGGAGGCCGAACTTCTGGTTCTGTTTGCCATGGTGAACTGAGCCAGAGGTGGGAGTGGGTACTTGTCAAAACCAGTTACCCGCTCCCCCCCCAAAAAGGGTCAAATGTGGCAGTGAAGGGGGGAGGAAGCAGAGAAGCAAAGAAGCAGAGCTTCCCCTTTTGGGTGGAGCTCTGCTTAAGTGGAAAACCTTTTGTATTATATGCACAATGTATGCTATGAAATCATACTTTATCTTTCAGCTGTAGATCTTTATCTCACACCAGCATAGCATTGATAGCTGAGGGTAAAAGACCTTCAGTTTACTCACCTAGACCTTTTCAGTCTATTTTCATATATGAGAACTCATCGTGGACCAAACAGTGGCAGGAGAAACCCTAGGAGTCAGGTAACTACTGTCTAACGCATATCTATCCCCCCCCCCCCCGCCCCCCCCAAAAAATATTGT